GAGGATGAGCTGAATTTTAGCTGTAGATGAATGAAAAGGGAACTTAGTTCATGTATATATCAGTTTTGTGGATAATTTAACCCACTCAAGGTTAAGCTCATCAACAGACACTCGGGAGTGCTTGCCCTTCCAGGCAATGGAGTTTAGTCACTGACACAAATGCCCAGGGGAGCTCTGGATTTACTGCTTGAGCCCAGGTGACCCACCACGGCCTTCACCTTACAGACTAATGAGGCAGGGACAAGATGATTATTTGTTTTTCAGGCTCTGTGGTTTGCCTGAGACAGGGCATTCCCAAGCAGATATTTCCACATCGGAATATTTTCCATGACATTAAAATCAATGCTCCTGGATATGCCAGGAAAAACTGGAGAAAGCATGAGGTTTACAGAATGAAGATTTCATGTCCCTGAGCTTGAATGATGTAAGCTGTGGGTCATAGGCTAGGTCATAGGCTTTCTGCTGAGGTCCTGCCTAAGGGTGAGTTTCAGCCATTGCTACACAGGTATCATTAATCTGTTGAAAATCTGCCAGAATTGTTTCTCGGTAGTTGCTGAGACTTGATTGTGAGGGCAAAGGGAGAAGGTACCCTTTCTGACCTTTTCCATTTCTTGTTTCTATCATTTTGTGAACAAAATTGTTTATTTTTGCTCTAGTAATTCAAGTAAAAAAGTATCTCTCTTGACTTTTTTGTAATGTCCTGAGCAATTAAGATAATATATTTTCTCTCTTCTTCTCCTTAGAATTAAATTAGTTTCATAAGAAAACCACAGGCCAGTGGTACCAAATGTGTAGCTTTTAATAGTAGGTCTTGCAAGGAAAATATTCTGGTTTTATTGAATTTAGAAACAACTACCTTTAAAATAAAAGAATGCCTTAAAACCTTGGTAGTTTGAAAGACAATGGCAAACAAATCAATAAGAAGGAATAGTTAGTATGTCATTTCAAAACACCTTTTCTCACACAAGGCAATGTAAAAGCAAATATTGATTTACCCTCTTTGGATTTTGATGGCTACTAGGACCTATCAAGGAACTTTCAAAAGCTTGAAAGTCAAGCATAACACAAGTAGTAATTAGCTACTGAGTTAGAGAACACATAGCATCTACGAAACTATAAGATGAATAAAAAATAAAAGGAACCCAAACAAGGGAGAAGATGCATAGTCTGCTGTCCTCACTTTGGTCTGAAACGTTCTTGACAGTCTGATGGAATTTCACATGAGCAGTGCCTCCCAGAAAACTATCATACTCACAGAGCAGAGGCAGTGACCTGCCATTAGACACACCTTCTGCCTTGCTAGGGATGGCAGCTCTTGTGGCAGTGCAGAACCAAATCCTGCTTCTTTTGCACCCATCGTACCTTTAAACAACCTGGCTCCCATGTTTGAGCGTGTGTGGAAATATTCCAACTGGTAAACATACAACAAAAGTAACACTTGCTTCTCAACATGTTTCCCATCCCTTTGTGAATACATCAGACACCAGGGTCTGGCCCCAGGCAGACTCTTGACTCCACAAGGGCAAAAAGTGCCAGACTTGGCTTCTCGTTAGGAACATCACTGCAGTCACTTACTTTAGATGGAAGGTTTACTGCGTAAGACAGTGATAGGTGGCAGATGGCTGCACAGAAACTGTGAGACCTGTCTTAAACAGGATTTCCCAGCCAAATTTCAGGATACTTCATCACATTGTCTGCAGTCTCAGCTAAATTTCAGAGACTGTTTCTCTGGCTTCCCTAAACAGTCATGCAGCTCCTCTCAGTAATGAGAGGACCAAAAACAGCTTTCACTACAGGCCTGAGCAAAATTAATTACAAGCTTCCAGCTTCAAGGCTAAACACTATTGGCATGCATCTCTGAGTAAAGACATATATTTACCTACAAGTCATGAGTGTAGGCTAAATCATAATCAGAAAGAAAAAAAGACAGTATGAAAACCCTGCACTAGAGTGTTCTTCGTTTTTGTCTTTGTATTTATGTCTTGGGTTTTTACATACCAGGCTGTTATCAGCACAGCATAGCTAGAAAATTTTCTCAAAAGGTGAAGAAATCAAGCATTAGCATGACTCCAGCTGCTTGAGCTCTGAGGAAGACAGCTGATCTGGATGGAGATGGACACACTGGAGATGCGGACTAGTAGTTAGAAATCAGTGTAGCTCCATTCAAACTATTGATATTTCACCAGTGATGATTCAGCCAAACATTTTGCCAAGTACTACTTATAAGAAGAAAGTTGGATCCATCCTAGGTATCAAAACCTGTTCCATTTCCTGTGCATTTCCATGAGGTCTGCAGTTTGCCCCACAGACTGAACCCACCACCTCTTACCAAGTGGAGAATCACACCAACCTTGTCTCAGAGGAGGCATTTCCTCATGGACTGCTAAAATCAGAACAGATATATATGACTGGTTTGGTTTTGGGTTTTTGATAGTCATAACAGCTAAATGAAGGGAATTAATTGTCTTTTTGCTGCAAAATTAAAAGGCTGACCAGAATTATGAACATACACAAGCACAAAGAGGGACTTGGGTGAAGTGTGCCTTCCTTTGTCCAATGGGCAAGGGAGAGCTAAAGAGCCATCCCACAGGCAAGGCTGGCTCTGGCATGCGCAATCCCATCTCAGTCTCACTGCAGCACTTCCCATTGCCCTTCTGCTGCAGCAGCAAAAGGAAACCACTACAGCAGGCTGTGTCATACCCAGGCAGCTTTGGGTACAGCCCTGCAAGGGCAGCAGCTGACGTCCAGCACTACTCTTGCTCTGAGAGATCCATGGAAGATTAATATTTTCTACCACCAGAACCTTCTTGGGCTAACTCACATCTTCACAATGAAGTGACTTACTTTCAGTTCATGTTCTGTGTCAAAAGATCAGCAGATCATTGAAAGCACCCAGCCATGGGATCCTCCCTTCTCTACAGCACATAACTCCTAGGGAGCTTGCTGCTGCCCTTCTAGGCCAGGTTGACACAACTCACTTGTCCCTGCTTTTGTCATCCCCAGCCACCACCTACACCCATCATCTCCCACACTGACTCAGACACAGTTTACAACTGTTTTGCTGCTCTGAATTCCTCTCCCTGCTCCTGTGATTGCCATTGCACGGTTTGCCCTGTCAATCATTCCCTGCACTCCACCACACTCCTCTACATGTCTATGAAGTACTACCACCACTTCCACCTTCTGGCTCTTCCTTTCTCCTCTCTCCTCTTTTGATCAGCCTAGAAGGAAGCAAACATGCCTCTGAAGAATGAACTGTTGGTCCTCAGAAAAACCTCACTCTTTTATTTCATGACATTTAAGGTAACAAAATCATACATGCCCCACATGGAGCAGGGTTGCAATGAAAAGAGACAGTGACAGCTATAGGGGTGTTCCTACATTAACTCAAAGTTCAACATCTTCAAGCAATGAGGCTCAGAGATAATGGGTCATCTCTCATGCCTGCTGGGCCCACAGGACCCTGCATACTAACAGACTCCTTTGGCTCATAAACTTGCCACAATATGACATGATAATTGGGAAGGGAGCAGACACATGTCAAACTGAATTAACCAAGTGACTGTTATTTGTCCAACACGGCAGAATACTTTAAAGGAAAACTTTCCTCATTCTTGGCAGTGATAGCTCAAGCACAGGAAGACATACAGAATGCTTTAGTCTTTGGTCACACTCTGCTGCTTCAGAGAAGTGGGGCGCAGAGATCTGAGAAATGACTTTTCAAGTATTTTAGTGGTCCTTCTGAAAGCATCAGGTGGTGGTGAAAAACTCATATTCCTTGGTAACTTGAGGTCCTCTGGACAAAATGACTGCCCTTTAGCTTCTAGGAAAAACTCTTCTGCGGCTGAGGGGTCAAACTGCATTTCCCACCACAAATTGTTCATGACGCTTCTTCACTGCAGAAGGTTTTGTTGAACCTTCCATTTGGCCTTACCCAGATTTCTGGCTTGAACACTTTTTGACTCTCAGCTTACTCCCACACAGATTTGAACCCTGCTCTAAAACTCAGCAGACATTTGCAGCCACTTGCCACATTATTGTTAGAGCCAATCATAACCAACAGTGGAAAAGTGGGAGGGATCAAAACATGATGTTTCTGGCTCACAAGGCTGGGAACAGTTCTTAGCCAGGAGGGTATCCAGGAAACAACACTTTGGTCTGTGTATGGTTCCTGGTTCTCCACATAGCCATTAAGGGCTGGCATCAGCCCAAAGGAATAGAGAAACTTTGATGTGGTTCTGGGAAGGAATTTTAAGTTTGCAGTTACAGTCTACCCAGCAAAAAAGAAACTCTCTGTTTCCTCCTGCTCAACAGGCTATTTGTTTCCCTGTTTCCCCCTGAAAGCACTGCACCAAAATCACGTGAAAATTCAACAGTGCATCATGCTTCATGAGACATACATTTTTGCAAACAAATTTATTTGGAGATAAACCAAGAACTTTTGGGAAAATATCCTTCACCAGCTCCCTCTGTGCCTGGAGGCTAGCTCTCCCTCAAGGGCACCTGAACAGACATGGCTGTCTGTCTTCCATGGCCCCATCAGAGCAACGATCCTTGACAAAGAGAAAAGACCTCTCTCTAAAACATTGCCCAAATATATGTTTATAACATCTCTCTGTGTCCCCAGAGATCAATAGGAACTCTTCGGTGTGCTGTCTCTCACCTCTGAACTTGAGACTTTACCCCTTTTGATGCTGGTTTTGGATTTGCAGTGACCCCTGTGTGTTAATAACAACTCCCAGCTCCTGGAGTCATTGCATCTGAAATTGTAGAAGAGGGGGCAACATGGGGTGAATGCATTGGCAAAGGCACAGCCCAGAGCCATGCATTTGACCATGCAGCATTGCTGCTCACCATCCATAAATGTGACGGCAGGTAAGAGCTGAGAGCTGTCAGCGAGGCTGGTCCTCCCCAGCTGCCAGCAGCACAAATCCACTGCATCCTTCTTTGTCTCCATAGAAACTTCCCTGCTGTCTGCAAGAGGCCAGTAAAGAGCTTTATTTCTCTGTAGCTATCCCTTAGCATAACAGATACAGAAAAAGAGTGAGGAGATCGGCAGAACTTTAAGAGAGCAGCAACAGCAGGGTCATGACAGTGCTGGTGAGGCAAAAGCAACTTTATCCTGATATTTAAGCTGGGATGCTTCCCTGCATCTCTTGGCTGCAGGTTTCAAATCCACTTAAGGGACTTGAAGACTCAGCTCCCATGAATTTTCAATGGAAAGGGACCACCTAAGTCCTCTAGGCAGCTGAGGAGTTATAGCAACTGAAAAGCCGAGGCATGGGCTACAGGTCTTCTGAGGATAACATCCATCCTGAGATTTGTGGCATCTTGGGTGAAGCTGGAAATTGTAAGATACAGAGCCAAGCATCCTTCTAGACAGGAATGCAAAGGCTAAAAAGGTACAAAAAATGATGGGGAAAAAAGGCTTTTAAAAACTCTTTTCTGAACTTACGTAAGCTCTGTCAAGCTTAGGGTGGGAGGACAGGTCGTTCTGCTTTTTAATCCAAGACAGTTCTCAAACATATAGCAGAACTAATTAGAATTTTTGCAAAGGCAAAGCTTTTCATTGGTAAATGTTTTTTTTTTTATTTAAGCAGCCTGAAAAGCAAATATGATATTAGTGTATATTTCTTATGAAGTGTTGGATGACATTCTTAGTGCACTGTCAGAATTGTTACTGAAATTATCATCAAGGATTTTTATTTCTTGGTTCTTTCATAATTCTTGCTAGACTGTTTTTTAATTTTTGGTAAATGCTGCACAAATAATCTCTACAATATGTTCTAAAAAATTGCAGTGCACTCTAAACCTAAAAACAAATCCAAAACTCTTTAAAATGGAAACAATTTGCATGTCTCCACATAACATTTATTTCTCAATTATTAATTTCTGTCACCAGCGTTCCCCAAGAAAAGTTTTCTGTATGCTTGGGAACAGTTTTTCATAATAACGTGAAATAAATTTTAGTGTCATTATAGCAAAACCTGAGCGCCATTTGTTCAGTTCAGTCTTATATTCCTAATGCACCCACTTCTGTGACATCTGGGCTGTGGGAGAGACTGGGCTGAACAGAAAGGTCTGGGCTCAGCTTTTCTCTGTGGTCTGTGCCTGACATCATCTGCCTAAAGACTTACAACCTCTAAAAGACTTACAACCTGTGCCAGGGAGAGAAACATGAAAAGCGAGCTAACGAAGGAAGAAATATCTGTACCCAAAATGTGATGAGAGAGTTAGAGCAAAAAATATTTCATAGGGATATTAATATTTCCACTTACACTGTTCTGTGTGTGGCAGACAGATAACAGGGAGAGAAACACTTTACAAGAGACAGAAAGGTAAGACAGATTGGCCAGAATGGAAATAGTTTTAAAAATTTACTACTCCAAGGTTTCAGCGGGTAACAAGGATTTACCATCCCTGTCAACCTCAGCTTCCTTCTGAGACCTGAGCATACAACATTGCTCATCTCTAGGCAAACTGCTTCAGACAAAGAGGTAAGGCTTTTATATAGTTATTGTTCTCAGAGGTAATTAAAAACTTCCATCAGATCTCACGGAGGAGCAAAGAGGTATTGAAAGCAAATGGAGGAAAAATAATATTAAAAGAACCCTTTGTCTCACCTTCAATTAGCCATGCTGTCTCCAGCACATTAACTGCATGGCTCATTACTGATGAATAACTACCTTTTAGGTGATGGACTCAAACTGGAGACACTGGGATCACTCATTTGCAGAGTGTTTAGAACTAAACCATTTGCCAGAACCTTTCCCAGTGGGTAAAAAGGGGGAAAAAGGGGACTCTCCCTAGACTGGGTATCAGCTGCACACAACCTAAGTGCACTCATCCCAGTCTCACAAACCTTTTCCTTATGAAAAAAAAAACAAAACACTGTAAAAAACTATAACTGACTTTGTTTTGTTTTGTTTAAGAAAGAACAATAGCAAGAACTGATCCTTCAAATTAAAAGGAAGATAAAAAAGTTCATAACCTTCTCACTCATTCCACCTAAAATCCTGGGAAGGGGAGGGAAGGTTTAACAGGGTGTATGTGCCAGCATCAGTTCACTTTCACACCACATAAATTTACTCCACTTTTAAGCCTCTGAATCTGGGAGGCTGAATTCTGGTTTCAGTAACAGAAGAGCAAATCTGTTGAAGAAACATTGAGCTTTGCTCCTCATTAACCTCACATATGTCTAGATATGTTCCATAAGTTCCATGAGCTGTAGCTCAAGCCTGAGCCTCCCCCGCATTGTCCCAGGTCCCAGACAGTGTGATCTCTGCCAGCCACCAGGAGTGACTCCAGCCTGAGCTCTGCACACTTGGAGCAGGGAGGTAGGCAGGGCCCTGCAGAACTGCTCCTGGAGATGGGAGTTTTATTGAAAACATCATCCAAGATGCAGAAGGTTTAAAACATTTAAAACATTGTGAAAGTTACTAAGTCTTCCAGTGATAAATCCTGAGAGTCCTTGCAGAATCATGCACATCCTTGACACGCAAAAGAAAGAAGTGGAAGTCAGGTCCACTGATTTCTTGACCATCTCCCCAGCACAGAGGAATGAAACGAGCAAGAGGATGCCAAAGAGACATCAGTAGCATCATATACAGTTTCTTTATCAGAAAATTCTTCTCTTCATGAGAAGCACATTATTCCTCTTATATATTCCCTTTATGTATTCCCTTTATATAAGGCAATTTGGAATAGATCCATAGCTATCACCGTAGATCATCTAAAGTCTCCTTACTTCATTAGAGCCCTGAAGAATGCTGAGAAAGATGAGCACCAAATTATTATTTTATTTAGCCAGTTTTTATTCAGCAGGATGATGAGGACTTTTAGTCTGGTTCCGTGCCTCTCTGCCTCCTGCAACACAAATCTCTCTTCCTTCAGGAAATTCCAAGCCCAGGTTTGTTCTGCAGAGAGGAGATAAAAAGTCATCTGTTAGAGTGCCAGGTAAGTGCTATCCTTTCACACTCTACAGAAGAGAAAGAGCTGGTAACAAGCACTGTCGGGTGTCCGAGAGGCAATGAAGAGGACATTAGCACACAGGATCATGGCAGCAATTGCTGCCTGAGAACTGCATGATACTCATCTTTATGGCTCCCTGAAGCCTTGGAGTGGCGTGGCAGAGGAACAGCAGGGTCAAAAGAATCCCTCAAAGCTCAGCCCTCAGCCCCATGAGCTCAGGAAAATGGGAGCAGCAGGACTAAAGCACACAGGTGGGCTGTCCATCTCCAGCCAGCATCAGGCAGTGATGTGCATGCACTGCTGTGGTGCAGCATTTTTGGTGCCTTTCCTGGCCATACATTTTAGCTCTTTTTATACACAGCTGTCTCTAGAACTTTTACAGTTCCAGAAACAATAAGATTTCTTTAACATGTTTGCCCTGCCACTGTCTGGCACTTTTAATTCTGCCAGGAGCTAAGCCTTGACACCTCTACTGAATTTTAAGAGGAAAATATTTCTTCTTGTTTCACCTGAGGGGAAAGGCTGTGACAGAAAGACCGCAAGAAGGAAATGGGATCACTGTGAAAGAGACTGGGAAAGGGATTGACTAATTTAAGTATTGAAGTGGGCTTTCTCCTCTTCTTACCAGCAGTGGAGGACTTTTCTGCATCCTTACAATGCTTCTTTCACCCAACACTCTAGGTACCAGCACATCCAGAGACCAATGTCCCATCTCCTAAAGCTGTTCTGATTTTCCTGCTTCTCTGTCCCTTGCTCTGCCCTGATTCACAGGTTCCCAGAACCTGTCTCTCTAAGTGCAGGATCTGAGAAGTGGAAGGAGCAGCAGATGCCAGCATTAGTCCATGCCATATTGCCATTCACTTCAGTAGACCTGACACTAACTTCTTATTGTATAAAGAAGTCAAAATCACCAACAGCAGCTGCAAGTAATGCACCACACTCCTACTATCTGTACTGCACCCTGGGAGCTCTTGGAGGAGTATATTAAAGGAGTCCTGTTAGTCTGCCTGCTTTCATTGTCAATATTCATATTCTTTCATTGTCTATATTCGTATTACAGGGAGACACTGGAACAGAGCCAGGGCAAGAATCAGGCTGGGTAAGAGAGTCTTTGGGGGAGAATTACTTTCTCAGCCTCTCCTATCTAGCTCTGGTCTAAGCAGCTCTCTGTCTTGATGTTTTCTTTCCAACAGGCTGCTCAGAACTGGCAGCCCATTGCAGTCAGAGATGTCATGTTGTTCCCTTGCTTTCCTGGGAGGAAGTTTCAGTGCAGAAGCCTTGATCCAGCAGATAGATAACTTTTTTGCTGTCAGCAAGGTGTTAGGGACCATCCCTGGAATTTATGGAGCAAGAATAGCACACTCTTTAGCAGCCACAGGATGAATAGGAATGAAGCTTGGTATGCTGCTTCCCCACTTCCTGAATAACAGAATGATACAACTGAAAACACAAGGTTTTATCATGCAGATCCAGATCACCCCTCACTTCCCTGACAGGTAAATATCCTGTCCCTCAGATATGGCTCACACCATCCTGCTTCAGCAGCTCCCATGATCCTGCATCTCTCTGCAAGACGCCAGGACCACAGTTCACTCCTGCCAAGCTGTTGTCTAGGTCATGTTGAGGCTCCTCAGCCAGAATCCTGTCCAGGCTCCCCATTGCCCCTCAGCTCCTCAGCAGCGCCACTGCCATTCACTGTGATGCTCTGGGACAGCTGCTCATCAGTCGGCAGCCCTTCCACTATAGGAAGCAATCTTTACTTCCCCAAAAAGCCCCTTTTCCCACCACCAGGGCTATTTTATCATCTACAAATTATTACATCATCAAATTATTAAGTCTACTTTATCTGAGATCACCATGACTATAACATGCCTAAAAATGCAAGAAACATAATTTCTGGTTTCCTATATATATATACACATATGGGAACATAGAATTCTCAGCAGTAGTCCAGGTCAGAGTTCCCCAAGCCTTGGGGCTCAGCTGCTGAACCCCAACCCCACAGGAAACTGGGCTGGCAAGAAAGAGAGACACATTATTCCTGATGTCACAATCACAAATGTCCTAGTGCTGACACTTAAAACACCCTCCATCTGTTTTGCTCAAAGAACAGAGCTGTGGGTCAGGCTGTTTATTAGGTACTAAAATTTTAATGGAAACAGTTTTTGAAGAGCAAACTTTCCCAGCATATTGTAAATGTGCTTAGATACCCAAAAAACTGCTGCATGCTCAGATTCAGAACCCATCTCAGATTTTGTTTGATTATTTATTTATGGTATTGTTCTTTTTAAGACAACATTTTATCTTGTGTGTTAGCTTCAGTTGGCTGGGAGGAGAGAGACCTACCTACAAGCACATTCACCAGCCTCTGAAACAGCAAAGGATCTCATGTCTCTCCAAAGGGACAGTGTGTTGGAACCTACATGCAAAAGTCACAATAGCACAAATTCAGGTTGCTTAACATTTTTGGTTTTTCCTTCTTCTCTTGGCAGATGCCTGTTTCTCGCTTAAACTGTAAATGTCTGCACATCAAAATCCCCTTGGTACATCCCAGCATCAGGCTGACAGGGACCAAATCAGGGCTAAGCACAGGTGGCTCCAGCTGGTAAAGTCACAGAATGACTGAAACCACAGGAGGATGGAAGGAAGAGTGGGCTTGGCAGGGTCAGTTTATCAAGTCCTTCCCTCTATTTCTGTTTATTTTAATTTTGACTTTAATTTTAACTTTTCTCTGTTTACAGAGCAACAGATCGTATTCTTTATTTCAATGTGGGGTTATTTGGGGTTTTCCATTTGGTTTTTAAACCCTGTCTTTTTTAATTTAAAGCTTTTTGCTCTGCTTTGTGGAACTTGTAAAACGAACATCTCATCCGGCTCTGATCAAGTCACGGCCGTAGGAAGCTTTGATCATGCTGCCATCACTATCTAGCAAGCTGCACCCATTTCATGCTCTGGGGCTGTGCTGTCTGTCTCTGCTGAAGAAGCAGAGTTTGTCAGCTCAAGTGCAGCTCCAGCTGCCACAGCTGGACTGCCCAGTGGCAGTGACAGGTCCCATCTGACAGGTGGGTGCTGCTGCAGGCTCTCCCAGGGTGCCTCATCTCCAGGGACTGACAGGACCCATCCCTCCCCAGGGACTGCACAGTGTGCACAGACATCTGACCTCAGCACTTAAATGCCATCAAGGGGTAAATGCTCCATTTAAACATTCATGCCCCAGGTAAAGCTTAAGCTTTCAGCTGAAGGCTTCTGCTAAGCACCAATTCCCCTTGGAAAAGCTGTCCCTGCATCACCATAACTAAGTTCTCAGTCAGGACCCAAAACCTTATGATAAAACAACTCCTTGGTCTTTAAATTACTTTCCCAAGGTTTTATGTGTTTTTTTTGAAGTCACAATCATTTGCCACAGACACAGAAGCTAGCAACAGATCTTCTTTATTTCAAATAAAATGGGAGATCATTCAAAATCATGAGTGCAAGCAGTAAAGTTTGAAAATACAGCAATACAATACAGCAAGCATCAAAAGAACAGGCATTATTCAAAACTAAAAATGCTAAAACACATACCCAATAGGAGTAAATTTCACCCCAGTGTCTTTAAGACCTGTTTTCCATATTATTTCCCATTTTCAGGGACAATCTCAGAGCTAAGAGTCCTAAGCAGAAAGTTCCTTATGCTCTTTTATCTTATAATATTCTTAATGTTTCTGGGTCCTAAACACTGGAATCTGTCATATATAACCTATGCCGTGTTCTTTATTTGTTTGGATTTTTTTTAACACACAGCCCAATTTCTGTTTCCTGACAGCTCCTACTCCCCTTAAGTTTCAGGGGATTTTTCCCTGGGTGATCTGAAGGTAGGAATTCTGTTCTCAGGCAGCCATGTGAGTGTTATTCCCAGTTTAATAGTGGGAATAAGCTTTTCCTTCTTCTCCAAGACTAACTTCCACCTCTGTGTGAAGCATAAAACCCTGACTGGCAGAAGACTAGGTCTCATCAGACTCCCTTCAGAGTCCTACTGAGCAAATTCACTCTTTTCCTGAGATGAGTCCTTTTTCTGCTTTAGTAGGCAGAATAAACAGATTTCTTTGTGAAGTTCCATGCCAGTTTGAGGAGGACCTTTGCACCACTGAGGGTCACTTGAGGCTTGTGTTGACCTGAGTTCTCTCTCCTGTTCCTGGCCAGGGAAAGCATCTTCTGCCCAAAAGAGCTTCCTTGGGCTTGCTTTGAGCAACAAGCAACAGAGATGAACATCAGCTCAAGCATGACCAGTTTTGGCAGCTAATGTTAACTTGCAATGACACCTGCAGAGATAAGGGAATTCAGAGTTGGATATTAGGACCTATTCAAAGACATTTAATTAGTCCAACAATGGTTGGGCTTTGCAAAGTGTTTCTTTTTGCTTTGTGCCTGTTAGAAACCCTCAATCATTCATAGCATTATAATTTATGGTTACGATTTTGTGTCCTGGTGAATAATTAAAGCTGCATGAGCTGTGAAACTTTTATTACTAAGTTAACTCTTCGGGTTTTTTTCCATGGCAGCTCTTTGAAATGCAAGCCACTGTTGCTGTTAGTGGTGACTCACCATCCTAGCCAGTGTTTTTTGATGTTTAAAAAAAAAAGAAAAATCAATTATTAAATGGAACACTTTTCTCTTCAAAAGCCATTCCTTTTAACTCTTTCCTCTGCAAAGCAAGCACAAAGCTATTTATGGACAAGAATTACATTCCCTGAATCTGCTGATATAGTTAAGCACCTAGGCTTAACAAATCTGAGCACAGGAACACCCACACTGAGACTCAGTTAAAATTTGTACTAGGAAGCCCTCTCAGCTGATGAAATTTTTTTCAAGCCAGTGAAAATGCCTGACCCTTCTAAGACTGAAACAAAAAAAGCCATAGATGTGGTGCTTGTAAGTTTTCATACTCACTTTAGCATATCTCTTTCTGAAGTGTTGGCTGCCACAGAAACAAGAGGATTTGATGCTAAAGCATGAGAAGACATTTAGTATTCCTACACTAGTGTGACACCTCTTGTTATAGAGCATTTTCCAGGGTGTGCCACTTGTATAATGTGCTAAATACCTGGTGTAGCATGGCATGCATGACAATAGTGAGACCTCACACAGACAGGAAAAGAGTGACAGATCATTTTTTAAAATCCTCTAAACTAAAAATCCTATGAGCAGCTTTCTTTCTCTCATCCCTCTTCAGCTTAGTGTATTTGTCATTAAAGCTTTAATTGCATCTTTTCAGCATGTGATCCTCTTCTCTACCCTCTGCTTTAGGGTTCTTTCTTGGATTAAGCAGAATTTCTGATGCACATGTTTGTTATGAGATACATACAGGGCTGAACTGCACCATGCAAGAAGCAACTAAAATCCATAACAGAAGATTGGATAGCTGTAAGGACTAGAAAATGGTAATTTCTTCTCTGGAGTAGTTATTTGAGTCAAAGTCAGAGAAAGCTGACAGTAGAAAAATTATAGGCTGATACCAGAATTGATGGTGGCTCCACTTGTTTCAGTGGATTTGTGCCAGCTTACACTCCGCAGAAGTCTGGCTCCCTTGGCTTCAGTGGTGTCACACCAGGTGCCAGACTGAGGCACACACCAACACTTAGCTCCTCTCTTCCTGGGAGGGAGTAGGATGTCTGAGGATGTCCAGTGGGCATCCCTGCCAGTGCTTTCCTCTGCCAGTGTCAACCAAACTAGAGCACAGCATGTCACACATCCCACACCATAAGAATTCACAGAGGGACATCATGACCAGGGGCCAGCTGTCATGCACTTACATCTTGAAATCTCTGAAGTTTCTGAGTCCATTTGAGCCTAAATAGAGTTCAAGTTTTCCCCCTGCCTGGCCCAAGATGAGGAATTAACGAGACACTGAGGTCTCTGTGCCACCAAACCTCTCATTGGACTTTCTTTATGGGATCTGTCTGCCCAGAGGCTCCAAAGGACCAAAGTTTCCACTCCATGAATGCTGGTGGGATTTTATTTTTATAAGGAAGCAGCCAAGCATGTAAACCAGTGATGAGCTTTATGTGCAGTACAACAGGAAAAAAAAGTAACTGCTTTTTTATCATGCTAATCCTTATCCATTTTATATCTTTGCTCAAGGACTGCTTCTAGTGTATTACAGATTAATCCTTTTCTGGGGAAGGGCTGAGCAGGGCCCACCCTGAGCACACAAAAGACATAAGCTCCTCGAGTGCTCAAACCTGTAGAGGGAAAACAAACAGGACCACAAGAGCTGAGGAGCCCGTGTGTATTTTTGGGCTGCACAGCAAAGCGAAGACTCTCTGGGATACAGATTAAGATCTCTCACTTGTTGTTTCAGCTGTCTCAAAGTGGTGATGACAAAGTCTCTCATAAACAGATTGAAAGGTCATTTGATTTCACGGTTGCTTTATTTGAGTACCTCTGTGTCCTCCACTGAAATGTTATTGTGTGCCTTCCTCAGAAACACTCCTCAGTGGTTTCCCATTATGACACATTAGGGTACACAGAGCATTAGGGATCATGGGGCAGCAGCTGTTCTCAATTATAGTGGCATAAATTTAATAATTCTACTGACTTCAGCAGAGGCATTAATGGTTTACATGAACAAAAATCAAAGCAGGATTTGCTCTTTGCACTCTAGATCATACATGGAGGTGTCTATCTTCTGAAAATGAAGAGTGCTAGAAATAATGAAAATATTTTTACCACAGTAAGAAGGAATGCCATTTCTAAGTCACCAGCATATTCTCTTCCTTTCAGTACACTCAGTGCTGATGGATGCTAAAGGTTAACTGAGCATTTATCAGCAGAATGTTTCCCCAACATTCAAAAATTCTGAATTTAAACTTTTGAAAAAGATAGAATGATTGTGTCATTCTGATTGAAATTTCTATTTATTTATTTATTTATTCATTCACTATTAATATAAGGGTAAAAAACTTCAAAGCTCTAAGATATTTTTGTTTTCTCCAGCCTGAAGTGTTACTTGGCCTAGAATTCACTTCAGCATTTTGGTTTGTTTCTCATCAAGTTCTAACACCAGCAGTCAGAAATATTAACATTTTCTATGAAAGAAACAGGGGCTTTTTTCTTTCCTTTATAGATAACATGTTTATCTAAATACTGTTAACCTAATGATTTTTCTTAGAAGTCAGAAATATTTCTATTACTGATTAAAAATATAATTAGACAGATCAGTATTTTCACAAATTGCCCTTTTTAACACAATATTTTCCTCTTGTATTGTTTACATATTGATGGAGTGCATGGGGAAAAGAAGCAAGTGCAGATGGTGTATTTATCTGAGTGAGAGGAAACGCAGTAGGAGAGAAGAAACACCAGCAATGTCTGTAAGTCTAACAGACTAGAAGAACCTGCCAGCAAAAAGATGAAGAAGGACGAAGAAAGAACTCAAAGACCCTGGCTCATATTTCATGACTTCCCACTGCAAAGTCTCCTTTTCCTCACTCACCAGAAGTAACACTTTAGCAAAGTTCTGCTCCTAATTGAAGCCCAGGAGATGCATGAGTAGCCATCAGTAGTACGACCAGCTGTGTATCTCTTGGAGACAATGAAGATCTTGAGATCCTTGTTGGAAGAGACACCACCAAGGCATCCCCAGACACAGCAGGAGGGATGAAAGCATGGGGTAAAGGATGAGAGAGCAGTGGGCCAGAGCTGGTATTCACCTTACTGTGTGATGCAGGGCAGCTGCAATGATCACTGAGGAAGACACAAACCATGGATTTCTGCTCTGCCTGCAGAGTATCATCTGGAGAGCTTCAGTGCTGCAAGCACCCAAGGATGGTTTTGAGGACTGTATCTGGAGGGCTCAAATGCACTCCAGGGGAAAAGGGCAGAAATGCTGCTCAGTCAACCTCCAAAGAGTCTTGTTCAGTCTCTAAAGAGCCTGAGGAACAAGACCTCTGAGCTGACATTCAATTTAAAACCAATTCAGAATAAAAATTAGATGCATTATGCAATTTGTGTGAATGGAAAAGATTTGAAGGTAGATGTCAGGCTGAAGACTTTCATTTGGGCACAAATAACATCAAGAATGGGAGGAAATCATGTCCCAAAAAATTACAGCTTTGCAGTCACTAAACTATTCTAAATGCTGATCACTGGGCTTTTTTTGAGAAGTAAATTTTAAGGTATTTTATTATTTTCCCTCCTCTAAACTTGACTGGGAAATGTTGTTGTCTCTGATTTTAGTTACAATTGTGACTTCTGTAAGTTCTGGAAAAAGAGAACCATTCTCTGCACTTTGCAGTTCAAATAAATACAGGGGAAAACAAATTGTATTTTGCTTGATGAGGCTGAGCATCTCCTTCCTTTTCATTCAAACACAGAATGAAGAATATACCATGACAAATCTTTTCTGAGTTAGTGGGAATTTTGTTTTGTGCAAGCTAGGGAAGATATTTGGATCATTGGTTATTATAACTTGTTCCATCTGTTTATCTGTCTGTTTAAATGCCCCTCTTCACCTGAGCACTTTAAGATTTGAGGATCTATTCTGAGTCCTTGTGGCAGATTAGTCATAACAGAGAGTTTGTCTGTGCCACAGGTTTTCTTGCAGGTAGTTATTTATTACCTTTGCTGCTTGGGATCTTGTAGTGCCCAAATCCAAGGATAATCTGTTATGTTTGTTCTAAATTAAAAAAAAACTGGTGTATGCAGGGACTGTGGAGACAGATAATTATAGAAAGAGCACCATCTATTGTCAGGTAAAAAACACCATGACTGCTGTTTATAGGCATAGAGCTCCAACAATGTGGAAACAGCTGTGGGATTTGTGCCTATTCCAGAAGCTAAGCAAAAAGTACTTTGAATGCTTTTGGCCCCAAGAGGAAATGGTCTGGGTGACATGAATCTTCTTATGTCATAAAGTATGAAACACTGTAATTTACATCAGGCTAGGAGGTTTTATGCCTGTTTCCTTATAGGGTCCTGGTAGAAGTGGGTCATGAATGGAAACTGAGTCACAGCTTGATGAATGGGGACAGTTGTGGTGTTTAGTGGGATATTTGGATGACATGGAAGCAAAAACAAGTCATGAGAAGGCCTGGCTGGCTGCAGGCAGCGCTCAGCTCTAGGCCACGGTGCAGTTTGTGCCCACACAAAGAAGCTGTACAGTGTTTTGGCTGAGGTGTGGGCTCTGCAGCCCCCATCCAGGATGGGCAGAGCACTGCCAGGCCAGAGCTGGCCATGCTCCCTCACCTGGTGCAGACTAGCTCAGACCTCCTTCTCTTACTCTGCCTGCCAGCAGGCACTGATAAAGGCCCCAGACTGGTCTGAGCTTTTGAGATTTGTATCTGGAGGCAGTAAGAAGAGAAGGAGACAATTCCTCAGTGACTATTTGGAAAGACTGCTTCATTCCAGGCAATTCAAGTTATCATGCCAAGTACTTCATAAATCATTTATTTGTCTCTCTGCATTTTCAGTAGACAACCTAATTATTGGTTTAATGTCTTAATAGAAGTGAAGGACTGTGACTCTCCTGACCATCTTGTGTGGCCTTTTCTGCTGTAAACAGAAAGGAGAGAAAGTGCCAAATGAAGACAAAAGTAATTAATGATATCTTCTTTGTCCTTCTTTCATAAACTTTCCCATGCCAGTGAACCTGCCTTTGGGTTTTCCACACAGAGAGACAAAAGATACAAATATAAGTTTTCAGGGACATCTCAAACCATCAGAAAAGCCATTTCATCAACTGCTAATGTCAGCTAATGGCTTGGTAACTCAGCATGTACAGTGGCTCCCTCAGAAGCAGACTTATCAACAAGCAGAAAATAGACCATCAGAGAGGTTTTAGGAGGGCAGTATCTTTGTCCTCCAAGCAGATGCATTTATAAAAGAACATGCCTCTACCAGGAGGCTTGTGTATGAGGACTGGAGTGAGGAATAAAGCAAAATACAGAAATTAATCCAAGCCATTAGAAGGAAGTCTGATGGTTGTAGCAGAGGTGAGGGAAAGCAGGTCCTGTGTGAGCCAAGCAGCCACCAAATTTTCTGCAGGTAGACAAGCACCAGATGGGTATGAGCAAGGAACAGATGAGGGATGTGGCAATGAGATAATGCAGGCAGCTGTCCGCAGAACTCACCAGCTTGCTTGTGTGGTTCTCTGATGAGTGAAAGTCTCTCTGATCCCTGCAGTGACTGATTGTGAAGGGCATTGTGCTTGGTAACTGATGCAGAGAAAAGGGGGAAAGCATGTTGAAGCAGGCACAGGGGAGCTGACCATTTTGTCTTGATTCTGAAAACTACAATTCCCTGGGATCTGAGCTAGGAGTGACAACTTCACAAAAAACAACACCAGGGACTGGCGCTTTTCTTGGCTGCCTGGCTAGTTTTGTCTGGCCACGCTGCAGGTTCTTGATGACCTCTCCTCTCACTGCTGCTAGAGTCTCCCTGCCAGCAAACAATGGGGTCTGACAGGCACAGCACGTGACGGACAGCACAGTCTCTGGGGATGAGCATTTCTCAACCCTGGGGATGGACAGAGACCTGTCAGAAAACACTGCAAAGCCCCTCCAGCTTGGTTCAGGCTGGGGAAGAAGAAGTGGGCAGGGGTGATGTACTTTTGTCCTAGGGTGATGCTTGTATCCCCAGTCGTGTGTTCTGTTTATGCTGAATATGTTCTGTGCCTTCAAGATGGGCTCTGAAGAGCGAATGTTTTGTTTTGTTTTGTTATCAGCCTGTTCACTCTCCCAACAGTCGTCAGGACACACAGACAGAGCAGTACATGGTGCTGCTTTTGTTTTTTGTACTTGCTTTTCCTTTGCTCTTGCTTTTGCTCCTGCTTGTTAGTTACCTTAGCTAAGCAGTCCAAATTTTCCCTGAACTGTTTTTTCTTTCCCTTTCTTGGAACCACTCAAGCCTGCTCTGGAGTGGGACCTGGGAACACCGAGAGTTTGCACCTTGTGGCCTGCAGCAGCTGCCCCAGCACTGGAGGCATTGATAACAGAGTGACCATCCCCAAGAGGGACTTTCTGAATTTGTCATCTTTTTCATAGCAGTGAAAGAGTGGTGTCATCTGGTATTGTTCATTTTGTATGCTGGGGGTGCTGTGCCTGTTAAATAAACAGGTTCTTTCCACTTCTCTCTGAGGAATCCTTCCCAAACTGGTTGTGGGGAGAGGCCATGTAGATTTTCTTTCTGGAGGGGCCCCCTTTTGGTGGTTTTCTCCCAAATTTGCCCTAAACCAGGATAACTTTGTATGTAATCCCCCAAGATTACAGGTGCACAGCAGCCTGTGAGTGTCCCATTCCCATGAGAACGGCCTGAATTGAAGTACAAATCAGGGTCCCACTGGCCTTTTCCCTTCCAGCCCAGATCACCCCCTCAGCTGTCTCTTCCCTCTGAGGAGCACTTTGGACACAACAGATGCAATGGAGGGCAAAAGTGTTTCCTTCAGCAAATTTTGTGCACATCCCAGGCTATGAGTCAAAAGCAACTTTTTTACACTTCAAGTCTCCCATCTGCAAATGCAACTGAAATGAATGAATGAAGGAGCAAATATCTTAATGAAGAACACAAAAGCTTTTTTTTTTTTCCTTTCCTAGTCTTTCACATTCAGCATTATTAATTGATTCAAAGGACAAAACACTCTGTGGTCAAGCATCAGAGAAGCTTGATGATTACTATATTTTCCACAAGGGATTTTAATAAATTTATTATTATTATTATTATTACCAATTTATTGTATTTTTTACCTATGAAAGTAATAATGGTGTTTCACATGTACACCTTCCCCAAAAGAAGTAAAGGACCAGAAGTCCTTTTGAGTAGAAATCTACATCTTTTCTCTTATTGGTGCCAAATCACAGTGCCTTGTGTCTTTCTCTTCCAAGCCCATGCCTCAGAAGATTTATGCAGCTTCAGTAGAGAGCTTCACTCACAGACCTCTCTTTTCCCCTCAGTGGTACTGGATTTAAAGGAAACAAATAGATGGGTACAAATCAAGGCACGTCAAACCTTGAAAATACATGTGCTCTGACATGAGTATCTAAACCAGGTCAAGTACAAGAACCAAGCAAACTGCCATTGTAAGCAGTGAAAAGTGATTTTTTTTTTAACCATTATATCAGTGTAAGTAATCCAAGGAAGGGTACTGCAGTGGAAAATTTTTGTATTATTTTTTTCCAAGCAGTTTGCGCGGTGTCAGATCTTATATTTTCCTTGTAACACACTGAACCTGAGAAAGTATGGGATTAAACTGCTTCATCTCCTCTGTAATCTAGTGTGACCTCTCTCTTCCACTCTCACCTTACTTCCTCCTTGATTACATGACAGTCTTACACAGACTTTTTCATCACTAGGTATTAAAGTGCTCGACAGTGATGAGGGGTGTTATAGTCTGCATTTCTTGGTGAGTGAACTAAGACAGGGAAAATTGCTGAAACCACCCAGCAGCAGAGCTGGGAGCTGTACCCAGCCTTCCAGTCCCCTCTTGGAGCCTGTCACCTACATCAGCTAATTTAACATGATGTAAAGAAATACAGTGGAAATACTCAGGCTTTCATTTCCTACCTATTGAACGTTTCACTTGCAATTGCATTATATAAACCTGATAAAGGAAACAGCAAAATAATAATACTAATAATGCCAAACTCTACAGAGGAAAAAAGGGCGAAAAGTAAGAACAAAGTGCAACCTATGAAAAATATCTTGAAAGTTCATAAACACTGGAAGGAATACAGAGAAGAAAGCAAAAATCTCTCCCCTGTCAAGTGGAGCAAGCTCCAGCCATACAATATTCATTCTGCTAGCTAAAGTTTATAAGGAAATGTACTTTTAAATCTCAAGCACACGTGGGAGAAACTAGGCATGAATTTTTGGAGTTGATAAATTTGTTTGTTTGTTTAATTATTTACTCTTCTAGACAACATTAAATGAAACTTTACCTCTGATGGAACGCCAGGCTGGAGTGTCAGGATTCGGGTAAAACTGTGGAGAAATGGGGAGGTGACAGCTGAATTCTCAAGTTCTGCATCTGTTATTGGCCTGACTACTATGGAAGGAAACACTAATTAGATTATGAGAATGACTGAGGAACCTTGGCTGAAAAGTGAAAATGAGCCTCATTTTTAATATCTGCATTCCTCTCAGCAGCAACATGGACCTAAATATCTACTCTGCGAAATTCTAAGTGATACCTAACTTTGATAAAAAATGGTGATATCATTCCCAGATGACATCCATCTGGTGATTTACAGGATGTGTATTGAATGTATGTCATGTTCAATGTCATAAGAATTTTTATCTTTAAAAATAGTGAAATGAAATTAAAAACAACAACAACAAAATCTTCCTACACCCACATCATCCTTTTTCAATTAAAAAAACACAGAAAATCTTTAAAATGTAAGAAACAAGCCCATTTCTCAAAAGGATAACTAGTTCCACATGGAGTTTAGTTTTTGATAAATCAGTATTTCCAGATGAAAAATACTTTAAAGTGTCCTGAATGTTCCTCTTCCTGAACTGAGCTCCAATGGCGCTGCATAAGGGCTGGCACCACAAAGAGCCCCATCAATGCAGTTGTGGGGCTCTTCACAATGGCACAAGGAAGTCAGCAGATCCGGGCTGTCCTCTGGCTTCATTAACGTGCTGCAAAAGCCAGAGACAAAGAAGAGACAGAACTACTGATGCAAAAGACAGTGCTACATCAGTCCTCAGAAGATCTTTATTCACCTACTGGCATACCCCCAACTTTTCCTGAGAGTTCAGGGAAACAATTCAGCATGTTCTGATCTGTTTCTGGAAGGGAGTATCTTAAGTCTTCTCTTTTTTTCCCATATTCATTTTTAGGACAATAATTTTATCCAGGAAGGGCTGTCTCTCACCAGCTATCTGATAGAAAGAGATAACATCCAGCTGAGGGAGGCCCTGACCTCACCAGCTCAATAATGTAGGATAAACAATAAAGAACAGGAGCACATTGCCAAAAAGCTTTCTTTTTCTGGGGCTACGCATTTGGAACCGATTGCCTGAATTAATTTGGTCTACAAGAGTGAGTACCAAGGTAATGATTACATGAGCTATCTGACCTCTTGGAAGCCCAGGTGGGCATGGATGACATCCCAGCAGGAAATCCTGCTTCAGCTCCTCCTTCTTTAGCAAGGAACTGTCTGAGTTTGTTCTTCCTGCAGAAAAGTAATTCAGCTGATCATGGGCATGAGAAATCACCTCCCTGCCACAGCATGGACAGGTGTGACCTATTGCATTTGTCATCCCTAACCAGGAAGGCAAATGGACAGGAGCGATATTTCACCAGCTTCCTAGCCCTTGTGTTTTCTGAGGTTATCCAGCATACTCAATGGCTACTGGCAGTAAACCAGTGTTTGCAGCCTTCCCAAAGCAGAGTGTCACACAGGAGGGCAGGGAACAGGCTTGGGCAGTCTCTGCAGGGCAGCTGGCACTCCCCTCAGTATCAGCAATCCAGGCAAGTGTTCCAGGAAACCAGGAACTCTCATACTCTTGTTTCTGTGTGCCTCTCTCACCTATCCCATTAGCTCTCTGTGTGATTACATCTTACAGCACAAATGTGCTTTCACGGTGCAGCCAGCTACAAAGGAGGAACATTAAGCTTGCAGAAGGGAAGGATCTTAGAAGCAAAAACAAGTCAAGCTGATACTTGTGCTCAGGCCAGAGGCATTTTCCCCTGCGGGAGACTTGTTGAACTAGGAGGCAAGGAAGTCAAGGACATCAGGAAGGAGAAGATGCAACTTCCCAGTCAAAGCAACAGCAGCCAATGCTCTTTGTAGTCACAGTTTCAGCAAAGCATCAAAGAAATGTGTTTGCCCTGTGCTCCTGGAATTCCTGCTCTAGCCTTCTGAAGTTTCCCAGTCTTTCAGCAATTCATCCATGAGTAGATTAAAAACAAAACCTTGGTGACCAAGATCTGACCTCTAGACAAATGCCCTGCTCCTAAAACTGGAGTCCAGCCTGGATTTAGAGGGAAGATTTTGGAGTAAAAAAGGTATTACCCTGGAAGATGAAAAGGGAAGAGAAAAAGAGCTGCAGCTAAGCTGCAAATGAATGGAAGGTTATGGACAAGGTGATGAGAATAAATTTTATGTTGAGGACTGGAGGAATTACAGCATTTCTGCACATTTTTGGGCCTTAAGGAACTGTGTGTTTCCTTCAGGAATTATAAGGGGATTGGAGGCTCAAATAGAGAAGAACGAGAGCTTTGCAGTGTGCGGGCTGGATCGTGCATGGCCATGTGTGTCTGGCATAAAAATAATTGAGTCATTCTCCCTCTGGAAAAGACAAAGAGAGAGCAGCTCAGGCCATGCCTTTGGGGAAATCAGCATATGCACAGAGCAGCAACAGTGGTATCCTGGGCACCTGCTCTTTCCAGCAGGGAACCAGCATATTCCTATATTCCTTTGGAGTTGTCCGGTAATTTTCTGTTTCAGACCAAATCCTTAGGAGAGAAGGAGGATTTGGCAGGGCAAAAGAGCAGTCTATGAAGATTTATTTTCTCAAAACTTGGATCTGACTTTCATCCACCACCTAATATGTTCAAACGTTTCTCTCACCTCCTCCTGTGAGCAATGCACACACACAGATAATACTTTTGCTACTCCTTCTCTTAGTATTTCTGTTTATATGAGAATTGCAAGGCTCTTTGCAAAGAAAGGCTCATATCACCATGGGAGAATCCAGAATCCAGGATAGAAGCCATTCTTTCAAGGACATACAGCTTTAGTGCAGCCAGATCAAAACTTGATACCAAATTTCCAAGTTCTCTAAGCCTGCTCCAGCGCATCACTCTGTGTGCAACCTGCAGCTGCAGCCTACTTTGAATTAAAAATAACCAACATCAAAGACCCTCTGCAAACATTTTTAAATTCTGTTCATGATGAAGTGGTTTGAACTGCCCTGGTTTTAATATTGTCTTCAGCATTTTCATGGACTTTAATCTTATTTTCAAATATTATTGTAGCACAAAGAACAAAAAAAGAGTTTTTTTCTTTTTGTATAAGAAATCCAAGTTTTTCTTATGCAATTATAGAAGATGGGTGAAGAGGGCCCAAACCTGCAGGA